CAGTGCTGTCGCCCTTTGATCCCAACAGCAAAGCTGCGCAGCGCGCTTTGGCTGAAGTGGCGTGCACGTTGCCGTCCCAGCGGTGACTTGGGTGTTGCTGGAGGCCATTTCTAGTGAGTTCTGCCCAGGCACCGCGTCTTGCCAGCGACTGCGTGCTTCGAGAGGGCCTTCCGCAGTAATTTAATGATTCACCTCCGCCCCCGGGTGACGGTTGTTTTTTGGTTTGTTCGTGTGTTGGAGTTTTTTTTAAGTGCTGTTTCCTGGCTTCTTTCTATCTCTCTTTACACCTGAGGTTTAATTTAAAGCCTTGACCTTAAATGGTGGAATGATTAAATGGAGTGAGTCCTGTCGCGGAAGCCCCTTGTGCAAGCTGGTAGCGAGACGATAGCAGTCTCCTGAGAAGATACCTGGATGATACCAGCTTTGCTGGCTGCCTGCGTTCCCGTACTCTGTTAGTGCAGTCTCCCTACCTGCCCCTGCCGTGGCCTGCTCCCTCACCTTCCTCCCCCGAGCAGGAGGAAGGCTGCTTGCACGGTGTCTGTAATGGTGGCAAGAGCAGCGGGCTGTGGCCGTCCCTAGCAGAGCACCTGATCAGGGAGACTCCGTACTGCGTGGGGGTTGCCTCCGGTTATCTCCTTATACTGGAGGAAGAGGGAGTCCAAATGCCGTCTTGATTTGCCGTCTCTGCCATGAGCTGAAGTTCTCCAGAGCGAGCCCCTCTCTCTCCCTGCATACCTGAAGAGAGATGACAGGGGCAGGGGACTACAAAGAAAGACCCAAAAGAGAATCTTCATGCTCCCCTTTCCTGGAGGCTTAATAGTATTCTGGTACTCTGTGAAAATATGCAAATTTTACTTCTGTTGGGAGAATTAAAAAAAAAAGAACCATCAGTGTTTTACAGACATTTGGTGGCAGATCTGATCTGTAGAATTTTGTTACTTCAGAAAAGTGTGGCATTCTTTGGATTTTCCATTTGGTCTGCTTGTGTTTCTTAGAACCGCCTTTGGTTTATTTTTTAATTTGTGAGAAGCTGTTCCACATAGCTGAAGAGTCCAAGTTCCAGAAAGCACACCTTTAATATAAATGCTGTAGGACTTGCTGCACTGCTTTACTTTTGTGATAATTCTAGCTTTAGTTCGAGCTTTACTTTCTTAATTTTATTCTACAGAGTGCCCACAACTCTTCTTCACTCTTAGTTTTTGTTTCATCCTTTCTTTGGAACATAAGCTCTGTTAAATTGCCACTGTAATTCCTTGATTATCCTCTCCGTTTTCACCTGTGTTACTAATATGCAAATGTATTACCACACAGAAGGATTCACATGCACACTTTCTCAGGCCAGCTTTAAGCTCTGTGAAGCCCCCATCTCTGTGCATTATCGCTCTGGCATGTACAGATTATTCAGCTACCACTAAAAATGTTGTCTCTCAATTGTAGTGTTGAAAATGTGAGTTAGTAAACAGAACAATAAGTTGTAATATTTTTACTCTTTTGAAATAACCTTTCTTCTTAGTGCAGCCTATTGAACAATTGCACATTTTTATTAACAACACTATATAAGAGTAACCATTCAGTCTTCTTTCCTAAAATTATACTAGAATTTTTTGTATTCAGATAAATACATTAAATGCTCAAGTGCAAATTAGTATTAGAGAAAATGAATATAACTTAATGTTCTTCTAATTTTTTGCACATCAAAAATAAAAATAGTCAGTTTTGTCGTACTTAGAAGTGTTTGCAGCTTCAGGTTGAGGTAACTTTTGTATTCTAAATAATTTGGGAATTTCTGAGTTATTACTGTAATGATGCTGTCCCAAAGCATTTAATTGAGTATTTAGTTTAGGGCTTGAGTTAGCTTAGTGTTTTAGGATGCTAGAAATATCCTCTTGGCTATTTTTGCTGCTATTTTCTTGGTGGCATCATAAATTCTCATTGCATTAATGGGATGTTTTCTTAGGAACATGGATCACTAGATGTAATACTGAATTTTCTTCTCATTTCCATGTATGTTTTTAAACACGTACCAGCCATGTGTCTTTTTGCAAGGACCAGTTCATCGAGGGCTAATTTGCTGTAAATGGTAGTTCTGCTGGGACAGAGTATAATGCTGATAACCAAACCTTGCACAGTTTTGCCTGGGAGCTGGCGCTGGTTTGCTTAGCAACTCCACTAACAGTTGGGACAGGTCTCGTGGAGTTTGATTCTGCCCCATTCTCCAGTAAAGAATGTTTTGTTGTCTACAGTAGGAAAGAATCAAAGCCTTGAAGCTAGTACTGAAGCTTTTGAGTTTGTAAATGTATACACATGTAATCTCAAAATCACATGGATTTGTTAGGGCTAAACTCCTTATGCATAAAGTACAGTACACAGATGAATCTGAAACCCGAATCCTGCTGGGAGTTGTAATTGGTAATGGTTTTCCACACACTTTAGTAAAAGTGACAGACATTAGAATAACTAACTTTCAAAATAACAAAAATCATGACTAAAAGATTTTTTTTCAGTAGTTCTCTAGTTGGAATGGAACGTCTAAGAATAGCTCAGGCGCTTTCCTAGTCTAGTATTAGCATTTATGTGAAGGTCCGTGTGTTTTAGTATAACAGAATCTAATCATTCTTACATTCAGTTTATAATATGGCAGTGGTGGTTGTTACCACCACTGTCATAAGAAAATTAATCTTGCGTAACAGTCCTGTATACAGAAATGAGAAGAAACTAACTTGCCTCTTTTTTTCTTTCAGTTTTTCAGCCGGGGGCCAAATATGCTGCATGAAGACAGCAAAGCACCACAAGCTGCATTCTTTGCACCTCTTCAAAAAGTGATGTTGCCACCAAATACTTTTCAAGGGAAAGTGGCCTTTATAACTGGTGGAGGTACTGGGATTGGCAAAGGAATGACAACAACTTTGTCCAGTTTAGGCGCCCAGTGTGTTATAGCAAGTCGGTAAATATTAATGAAAATGTTTTAGAGCTTTCATTTACTACCGAATGCTGAATGGATGTTTTCTTCTTTGTAATGGGTCTTGCTTTCTTCTTCATAAACTGGATAAATTTATTCTATTTACTCTATTTCAGTACACTTTTAAATTATAATGTCATACTGTAAATACCAGAAACTTGCAGATCCATCTACAGATGTCTAATGGTATAACCAGCAGTAGGCAGAAATAAACTAAATGCATTTCCATGAAACGTGGCAGCAAAATAAACAACCCAGAATATTAGGCATAAATTCAACTAAAGCCTAAAAGAGAACAAAAAATTGAAAGGGCCATTGTTGAACATTTTGAATGTATTATTGCAGGTGTTCTTGACACAGGTTTGAATTGCAATAAAGAATTAAAGCCATTCCTCTTAATTCTTATGACTTGAAAAACAGCCCTGATTGTCCCTTAATGAAGGTGATCTTTCTACAGTTTTCTTAAGTAGCACTACAGTAAAGACTAGAAAAGCAATCTCATTTTTAATCAAAATAAGCAAAAGTGTTGTGACATTTGCCCAAACAGCGGTTTAGATTTAGTTTTAAATCTGAATATGTATGTCCCTTCTAAAATACTAGTAAAGTAGTAGCTAAAATTAAGTTTGTTATGATTATGTACTCAGAATGAAAATATTTTTTCTAGCTTACCATGTTTGATTAAGATAGTGTCTTACCATAGTCACTTCTGAGTTGTTTTGTGAAGTAGTACTAACCAGAAATTACTTAAAGTTTTCTTTCAGAAAGTTAGTGGCTAAACATAGTTTTTATCTTAAAGCTCAGTTTTCATGAAAATCAGCAACACGCACATGCGCACACACATATTTTAAGTTCTAGCTCACATTTGCTCAGAAAAAATAATCAGATTTTATTAATTTGAATTGTAATTGTATTGAAATTTAGTGACATTATATACTTATTTCTAGGAAGCTTGATGTTTTGAAAGGAACAGCAGAAGAAATTTCTTCTAAAACGGGGAACAAGGTAAATTTTTACAGAATTGTGAATATGTTAGTTATTATACTTTAAATGGTTATAGGATTTTTATGCGTTTGTGTGCTTCTGTGGGCTTGTTTAATTTATGAGTGATATAGTTTTGAAGTCTTACAGCTGCCTTTTCATTATTATATAGGTTCATGCCATCCAGTGTGATGTGAGAGATCCAGTTTCAGTTAAGAATGCTGTTGCCGAAGTAATCCAGGTGGCAGGACATCCTGATGTAAGTGTTCTAGTGAAAGGAAAGAACTTCAGTCTTCATTACTGAAAATATTCTGCATAGTAGGTATGAAGAAAATGAGTATGATAGAAAGTTAATGCAATCTAAAGAGACACCAGCCAAAAAGTCACAGTACTTCGAGATAAAGCTAACATCTGTTCTAGTGCTGTGGCCAGATAAACAAAATATTGTTGTCCTTACTCTAAGGACTAACATTTTCTTTGTAAACAGTGGGACAGTTGTGATGGGATTCTTTGAATTAATGAAGTGAACAGAATATTGCCCTTAAATCCTCCGAAAATGCAACTTACACCTGTTGCTTATTAATAGAATGTCTCACAAATTAGAAATGGAAGTAATCATGCCTTCTTTGGTCTTTGCTTAGGTTATTAAAATACACAAAGAAGGTTCTAACTTGAAAACTAAGTTCTCATAAAATCAGGAAAAAAACCTTCAGTCAAGCTAAGTGTCTGGTTTTTAATAGTTTGGCACAAAACACAGAGCTCTTCTACATCAGACTGTTGCTTTGAGAAGGGTGGTGCGGTGGAGTCTGAACAATGATAGGCACCAAATTCTGATTTGATTATGAGAGAAACAACTCAGATTCTGCTAGTTGATAGAAAGTGTGATGAGGATGTTAACATCAATGTAAAGGATAGTCAGTGAGATTTAAAACTGTTTATTGTAGATTTAAAACTATCATATGTGTATCGTAGCACTTTGCATTCACCAGTAGCTTCCTATAGACATGGGAGAGAACCTACTGAATTCTAAATGTGGTAAGAAGTGGAGAAACATATTTCTCACAGCTGTATGCTCCAACAGTGCTCTAAAATAAGGCAGCTCACTGTCCTGATTTGTAGACAAGATGCTTTGGATATTATTTTGACTACCAGTTACTGCAGGTTTTGGCCAAAGCACATCACAATCTCCAGGTTTTAAGGGTGTGCAGAGAAGTAGACTTCTTCCTATATATTACGTTTTTAGTACACCAGTAATTTTCTGAATAAACGCTTCCCATGACTTGTTCTTTACAAGCATTTTCTTTCTCTTTAATTTCACATATTCTGTGTGTTTAAGAGAGACTGCAGAGTAAATTGAATATTTGGTTCTTTTTGTCTGGTTTTTCTCTTAGTGACAGACATGACACGTATGTTTATGAATACTGCATGCCTGGGTATCACTGCCACTGTGCGTGTGAGGTGAGATCTCAGAGATAGACGTTAATGGCAGTATCGTATTCCTTCTAGCTTTGTTTTGTTCATTCCATCCCCAAGACTGTTAGTCCCAATTAGAAAGCAATCATTCTTTTGTCATACGGATTGTTTTGGCAGTCATATGTATCTACATACCTCAAAGACTGTGTCATGCAGTCCTTAGTTCACTAGCTTTATTATTGTGTCTTCGCTATATTTATTCAGTGGTTCAACTGACCTCCACAGTATCTTGAGGTGTTTGGATTTTATGGGTTTTTTTCTTCAAACTGTAGGGAGGTCTTTTAATTGTATTTGCCACCTATATGTATAATTTATGGCTGTTGTATTTTATTTGTTTTATATTCATGCAATAGGTGCTGTGCTTTGTTTTTTTACTGAAAATTCTAATGTCTTAGTTTAGCCCAGAAGTTCTTCAGGACAAAGACTTTGTTTTATGTGCAAACCTACAGGAATCTAGGTGCTATTCCATAAGTAATTCACCATTTTATTGCTTCAGCACATTATATTGTTATTAAATACACAAGGTCTGGCCACATAAGTTTTGGTTTAAAAACTGCTTATGTGATGCTTAGTCCCCTTAAAAAAAAAAAAAATCTAACTTGCTAGCTTGAAGGGCTAAGCAGATGATATATCAAAAGTATCCTCTGCCTAATTATTGTTTGTAGAAAGGCAACAAGTGACAGATATACATCTATTCGAAAAAAGTTTTGAGGTAGTTGCTTGCAGTTCACTAAATCACAATATTCTCTTTGTCATGACTGATTACACTTCCTGTTACACAACAGTCAGCTAATCCAGACTTCAGGTTACCTGATCTTTTTTTGCCTTTATTCCCATGCATCTGTTACGTTAAATATGATACGTGACCTTGGAACTTGGTGGTGACAAACTATTCTGTTAGGATGCACTCGAGACACTATGGAAAATAGCAATTTAAGTCACCCTCTACGCTAGTACCCTCAGTACTAGACTAGTAACTACAGCAGTTTGGACATACAGCTCATTTTCTGTTACTGATACATATCTGTGTTGCAGATGTTAAAATTTCTGATGGATTTTCCCCCCCCCCCCCCATTTGACAAGGGTATTTTTACTTTTCTACCTGCAAACAGTAAGAAGTTCCTTCTAAAGTCTTTACTTTTCTCTCAGGAAGAGTTACTTTTCGTTAACTGTTAAGTTTCCCTTTATGTGTTTCAGGTTGTGATAAACAACGCAGCTGGAAACTTTATTTCCCCTTCTGAACGACTTTCTGCTAATGCGTGGAAAACAATAACTGATATTGTGCTTAATGGTACTGCTTTTGTAACTCTGGAAATCGGAAAGGAGCTCATTAAAGTACAAAAAGGTATCTTAAGTTTAAGATAAATGGTAACTAAGCATTGTGACAATACTATTACTTGCTTTCCTTGCCTTACTGTTATTATAGACAGTTTTGAGAGTTTGAAAAGAAACAATTTTTAACATTCTATGTCTTTTTTAGAAAGAAACTTCATTTTGACTAAAGCCATACTTAAATATCACACAGTCAAACTGGTTAGCAATTACTTCATTGTAGAATTTGCCCTTAAAATTGGACCCAGAGGCCATGAGGTTGAATATAAAAATCTGATTGCAGAGTTTGTACTAGTTGTAAAACGTTTTTAAAATTTAAAAAATAAGGCTTTCTTTAAAACATATGCTGTTATTTCTTTGGAGTCTTCTATATCTATGTTGGTTTCACTGAGCAACTGAACATGTGGCAATTACATAAATGAGCAGCAAGTCAGGGTATCACTTTGAATTTTCCTCCTACACTTAAATAAATTCACAGCTGTGGTATTTGACTAATAGCACTAGAGAACACAACCTTTGAGATAATTTGAAAAATTCAAAATTGAAATCAGTATTAGGTTTTATTTTTCCAGGTATAATTCTTAGTTCTAGACTACCTTGGAGTTGAATCCAATATTTTGGCTTTACCTTAGAACTATGATAGTTCTTTGATATACTATTTAGCCAAAGATTTACTGAACCAGATTGTTATCTTTAAGAGAAAGATAATGTATGCTCTTCTGTGTTATGTCATAGATTATATACCAAGAACGACTTTCATTTTACATGATGTTTTTCAATTCATAACTAGAATATAGAGCTTATTTTTTGATCAGAATGATATCATCGCAAATAGCATTTAGAAGCAGTGAGGTATATTATGATTTTCCATCTGCCCTCACTTCTGAATCCTGTTTTCTAGGTGCAGCCACTGTGTTGAAATAATCCTTTTGTATTTGCACTGTATTTCTCTAACTCCTGAATTAGTTGAATTTCTTCAAAACTCCTCTCCAAAAAGTACTCAGTGGATTTATACTATTTAATGATAACAATATAAAGTTAATGTTGTTTCAGTAAGTCTGTAACAGTTTTGGTCAGTTGACAAGGTATTTCCCACATATATTTTAGCAGCACATGAAAAAATTATTTCCACCATTCTAGTGCTAATATCCCCACATTAAAAACTCATCTCCAACTCCAACTTACTATGTCATTGTGGCAAACTATTGTAATAGTTTGCTTTGTGGCCTTCCAGTTGGATGTCTCCCCATATTAATGTGAAATACAGCTTTAAAAATGCTTTTGTTAATGGTTGGACTGGATGATCTTAAAGGTCTTTTCCAACATAAATGATTCTATGATTTGTCTCTACTGCTGTTGAATAAAAACCTACTTTCTTTGCTTCCATCTTCAAATTTGGCAAAATCCAGAAGTCATTCACCTTCATTTGTGTCTCCTCCTTTTGCTTCTAAGCTTCCAAAACATGCAAATTTCTTTTGTTATTATTTGCATGCCTTCTTTCTAGGGGATTCTGTCTGTATGTAAGATTTTTTATTTAAGGCTTTCTTTAAGACATGTTTTTGCAAGTAAATCAAGTGTACCTGTTTGTCCTCTCATTCCCCACCTTCATTTTCTTTTTACTTGCTTGTTTTTTTAAGTTTGAGGAGAGACCTTAGTTTCTGAAGTGATAGAGATGCTACCTAATGCAAGTGGTCTATGAGGATGCTATGTATCTGACAATTGCTAGAACACTGGCGCATCCATTAGGTCTGCAGCGTGACCTACATTAAACCTAAGTTAGTAAATAATAGAAGTGCTCTGGTTTTAGACTCTAAGTTTATACTGGTATTTAAAAGGGATTTGTAGTCTGTTAGTGCGTTATTTATACACTAAGATTTTACAGAATGAGAGGAGTTAATTGGTTAGATATTGTCCATTTTATGAATATAGGCATTAGAAATAAAAATTATGTATGAACTGAAGTGTACTTTAAACTTCAAGCTGTAAATTTATCAGTCATTCTTGCTTCTGTTAGGTTCACCCAGCTCACCTCTATTTAACCTGTATTTTAAACATTCTATGGTTTAATTCTGCAAAATGTATAATCAACAATCAACTCTAGATAACTTCAGATTTGTTCTGGTTTTTTTGCCTCTGTTGATTTTTCTTTCAAAGTCTCACTGTAGACTACTTTCTTTGTAAATAGGGTCCACAGTTTCTGGATATCTGCTGGCATTTCTGTCAGTGCTTGTTTATGGTTCTCTTTAGTTTCTCTTCTGTAACATTACTGTAATTTTTTAAGTCTGTACTTCATCGTCACATGCATTCTATCAGTAACGTATATTGTTTTAGAAATATCCCTTGGGTAGTGATTCTAATCAAATTATTTTTAAAATACAGTAAATAGAACAGTTATTTTAGTTACTGTGGCGTAAGTAGCTAACTGTCGTCCCTTGTCCTCCATTTCCCAGTTAGAGTAAGTTCATACTAGTCATTAATCAGACAATTAGAATTTGCAGGCTTGTATAAAAGAAAGATTAAACAAACATTTGCAGTTTCCGTTATTTTCCATAATGTTTTTGCTAAATCTGTTGTAAAATATAACATATAAAAGAAAGTGGTCTTTTTATAATACAGTTTGTTGTGATAATAATGGGGAAAAAGTTATGCAGGCTAACTTTGTTATAAGCTCTACTGCAGAAAAGGCTTCTGAAAATTTCATAAAATAATTTTTTTTTCTGCATAAACTTTAACTCAAGCCCTAAACTATGTCATTTTAAGATTATGCCAAACCTAATTGTTAATGCTGATTTTCTTTTTTTTTGGTCAGCCAGGAATTGATGAAATTAGGGCAGATTACCTGATTAGTGACTATTAGGCAGCTTCTAAAAAGACACTTTTTCTTAGGCCTTCACTCCAGTTAGACTGATTGGCACATGTAAATTCATTATCAGTGGAAGTCTGAGGGTTTAGACTTTTGGAGCCTAATCAATAGCTATTTACACTTACATGGAACAACTCTTTAAGTTTCATGGAAAAGAGGGAACTGAAATAAAAAGGCTTGAAAGCAAAGCTTCCAAGACTAGATTTTTAAAGTACCTTTTCACAACCCAAAGTGAAAAGGCATCCGTAACACTTGAGCTGCAAACTTCTGTACCACTGAGGTTGCTTTTTACCTTAAGTTCAGAGTTTGATCTTCATGCATTTTTTGTTTGGTTGGTGTGGGTTTTTTTTTTTTTTTTAAATGTTTTTGCAACTTCCAGGAGCAGCATTCCTGTCTATTACAACAATTTATGCAGAGAGTGGTTCAGGATTTGTGTTGCCGAGCGCCTCTGCTAAAGCTGGTGTAGAAGCAATGAGCAAGTGAGTAATATAGCAAAATGTGTGTTCTGCTTTTCACATCCTTGAGATAGGGTAATAGGTCTACAAAAATGGAGCTAGTTGATATAGTCCTATTCCATTGTATCATAAGAGAACCTTCCAGCCTCCAGTATCCTAGCAAGAAAATAGTATGCTGACTAGCTTCTTACAGAAGGAAGTATTAACTGCTATTATTGTGATGATTTTTATCACAAGGACGAGTGGACAATTTTTATCACAAGGACAAGGTAAGGACAAGTGGAACTACTTGTTTTGGCAATAGCAAGTTCTAAAGCTTCAATTACAGAGCTTCAATAATCAGATTCTCTTGCATTCTCATAGGTGAACCAGCTCTTAAAGACAGTTATTAGGGGAAGTGTTCGAGGTCTATAGTGCTCTCCACTTTCTTTTGTCTCAGGAAAAGATGTGCTTGTATTTGGGTGGAGTATACTGTTGCTTCATCTATGTAGTTTCATAAAGAAACGTGTTTTCTATGACTATTTTAAATTAAGATCTGCGGTTATACTTAATTCAGAACAGTATCGTGACGTTTCCATGTTACTCAGCAAACAAAAGGATTTCTATTATTATTAACTATAGGGCAGTCCTTCATAGCAAATAGATCCTCCTCTGCACTTTGGCAGAAGAATTGAATAGTTTGGCAGCCTTTTAGTAACTAGAATTCTTTATCCAGAAAAAAATGAGGGAATGAGTGATGGTCTTGATTTCCGTTCTATCAAGGTGAAACTGAAGTGTGTACTTTTCAGAGACTTTATGACCCAGCTAATTCATTCACCGTAGTAGATGATCTATCTGAAGTACTGCTTATGCAGAGAAAATGTTACCAGAAAGCAAAATTATTCTACTGGTCCCATTTTAGAATGTAATCTCTGTTTGTGTTATTTCACAACATCTAATGTGAGAGCTATGTTGAAAATGTTAGAAATATATACTTGTGGGATAGTCTAGATTACCAGAGAAAGATGGTGGCCTAACAGTTGTTTGTCAAGGAGTTTAGGTGCCAAAATCATCTGTGTGATTTGCAAGGGAGAAAGAACTGCTCCTTAGTATTGCTTTATCTATGACGCATCTATTAAATCAATATTCCTTTGTTTGTGAATGTGATTTTTTGCTTTTTCTTCTCTGAAATGTTTTTGTTAAGAACAAAAAAAAAAAAAACCCTAAGTAAAAATGCCTGTTCAGGAAAATTCTAGTGTTTACACACTTGATTCAGTTTTAAATGGTTTTTTTTGCTGAATAGCATTGTTAAAATATTGTGTTTAAAATATTGATGCATTCTGTTAATGAATTTTTAGGTCTCTTGCGGCTGAATGGGGTAGATATGGCATGAGATTCAATGTGATTCAACCAGGTCCAATAAAAACAAAGGTACATAGCATGAAGTGAAACACAGCCTTGAATATGCTTTGTAGTACAGACTTAACTTTAAGATAATCTAACCTTTTCTGTAACTGTTAAATTCAAGTATGATTTCCTTGGTAGTCAAGACTGTGCTGGAATATTGAACACACTACCTCTCAATAATTCTTTTGTAAAATAAAATTTCTTGAACTTTTGAAACCTGCCACTGCCCCTTCTACTACACTAAATAAACTAAACCTTTTTTTAGCGTTTCAAAGAAATGAAATAACAAAATATTTTATGTGGAATCTTATCAACTGTATGTACCTAGTTTGTCAAGTGAAGTGAATTCTTACACTTGGTGGAGTAAAAGTGCCTATTTCTGCCTGAACTCCTAATTTTTAAACAAAACATCTTATCGATTCCAAAATTTCAGAATCTCTTTTAGGTATATGAGAACAGAATCTCACTAGTTTTGTTGAAAATCAGAAAACTAGAAAGAGAAAAACTAAGCAAGGAAATGTGAAGCTTTGATATGAGTGAGAAGGAGGACTGGAGGGTTTGAAGGAAGTAATCCAGACCAGCTGGAACAGGAAGAAAAAAGAAAGCAGTCCTGAAGGAGGAGAGAGGAGGATCTGTTTCACATTGAATCAATATATTACAATTATGAGCAGTAACAGCTAATAATGGTATTACTACTACCTGTCTACCTGTAAAATATTTCACACTTGGTTTTGTTGTTGTTTTGGGGGTAGGGTGCAGGGTTGATTCCTCTTTCCCCCCCTCCCTCCCCCCCGCCTTTTTTCCTCTTGTCAATATTAGATGCTACACTGGGCAACTCAGTTTTACCTTTTTTGACTGTAAAGAAAGATAAGTGGCAGTATCAGCAGGATTATCAGAATGTTGAAACAACGTTACAGGATCAGACCAAAACTCCTCCAGGCCTTGTATCTGGTGGATTTTTAGGCAAGAGTAGAAGAAAAACATTTAATGACACTACTTCTTTATGTCTCTAGCCTCTGGCAGTCTATGGCCCAGGGAGTTTGATACGTTGATCTCTCTTCATATTGTAATCATCTTAATGGATTTTTTTCTCCCATTAGTTTGTCCTGTTCCTTTTTGAATCCATATAAACTTCTGGCATCCACTATACCATGTTGCAAGATCACTTTGATTTATAGATTCTTGTAATTTTTGGCAAGTTAACTGCTTTAAATGTCAATATTGCTACCTCCTGTTAATGTTTCTGATATAAACTAATAGCGTATATCCCACTTGAGATACTGTGTGTTCTTAAAGTACTACGTTTGTCATACTGGTTCCAAGTTAAAATTTCCCTGAAAGCATAAAAAGGCAGACCGGCTTTGCTTAAAACAGCATAGGGGCCTTAGGGGCTACATCCATGTCTTTAAAAAACACTGTTGTAAGTCATGGTAGAAAAAGGAAAAAGCATACAAGTGCGATACCATTAAGCTTAGAAACTGGCATTTAAAAACATGGCAATAGAAGACTTAAATGGCATTAGTACACCTGTGATTACATAAATTACAGTGTGCTTTAACTCTCATAACTTCAGTAACTTAACATAAATGTTACTGATACATTTCTGATTTTGCCTGAGGAAGTTGTTTCCTTGTGGAGGAGCCAGGAAGCACAAAAAACCTCTTCTGTTTCCCAAGCCATTCTAAGCTATCAAATA